TGCCACGTAAAGTCACATTCGTAGGTTCCAGATGCTGCAACACGGACATCTGTGGGGTCTGCTATTCTGCCTGCACTGTATGTGCACATGCACGGCTGCACACATGTGCTCACACAGACTCTTACTTTGTGTAAATGGGATCACACTCTGCACCCGCACATTCCTCTTCGCCTTAATGACGGGTCCCAGAACCTCCCCATGTCGCTCCAGGACACAACCTCACTGTTCTCTGGGATGTGGGGTTCTGGCGTTTCCCTCAGCACCCTCCCCGTGGACGTGCCTTTAGTATGTAACAATGACACTGTAATGACCCTGTGTGTCCTTCTGATCTGGGGGTTCCTTGTTCATGCTCGTCATTGTTTATTCAACACTGGCTAGGCCTGCCTCCTCGTGTGGCCCCCGTCCTCAGAGTCGGGTGCCCAGGCGTGTTCTACCGTATGTGCACATGCACGGCTGCACACATGTGCTCACACAGACTCTTACTTTGTGTAAATGGGATCACACTCTGCACCCGCACATTCCTTTTCGCCTTAATGACGGGTCCCAGAACCTCCCCATGTCGCTCCAGGACACAACCTCACTGTTCTCTGGGATGTGGGGTTCTGGCGTTTCCCTCAGCACCCTCCCCGTGGACGTGCCTTTAGTATGTAACAATGACACTGTAATGACCCTGTGTGTCCTTCTGATCTGGGGGTTCGACCCTGCGTGTCCTTCTGATCTGGGGGTTCCTTGTTCATGCTCGTCATTGTTTATTCAATACTGGCTAGGCCTGCCTCCTCGTGTGGCCCCCGTCCTCAGAGTCGGGTGCCCAGGCGTGTTCTCCTCTGGATCGTCAGGAATGCCCATAAGCCTCTTCTGGGCAGCACCGGCAGCTGGGGACCCTGGATGTCATAAACGTGCCAGCGAGTGCACTGCCAGCCTCCACCCAGGCGCGTGTGCGTCTCTTGGTGTGCTCCCGCTGTGTTGGGGATCTCTTGGTGTGCTCCGGCTGTGTTGGGGCCTTTCGGTCAAGTTTCACAGCCTTGGATGTCTGTTGAAATGTTTGTGCTCGTGTGTTTTTCTTTTCAATGTGGAAATTAGGTTCTCCACCCACTCCAGGCACGTTCACTTTGTAGGTGCCACTGTGTAACAAAGTGGCAGTCAGGGACTGTCTAAACCCTGCGGTAGGTTCAGAGGTCTCTACTTCTGCCTTCCCGAGGCCGTTATTTTCTATTTTAACAGGGAAGTGGGCTGCGAGGGGACGGGGCTGTCGCTGTGAGTGTGACCTCCTCCTGGGTCTGCTGAGCAGGGGACTCTGCTATTAGGCACACGTTGGTGATGCTGGTCTCGTCAGATCCCAGTGGGCTGTCAGGATATGTCACCCATGTCCCGCTGAATTCTGTTGATCTTACATCCACGTTGGAGACTCCATGACTTTGTAACCATTTGCCCAATGTTTCTGCATTAGTCTTTCAGTGATACGTTAGCTAAATTTTCTGACAGCGTAGAGCTGGATTTTACATCCCTGCTTTATGCCCTGTGACTCACGTGGTCTGCGCTTCTGTCATGGAACCTGCACCAGCAGCGATGGCCAACACACTTGAACCTGTCCCGCCTCTTGCTGCAGGGTTTTCAGTTGATCTGACTTCTTGTGGCTTTTGTCCTTTTCCACCTGTTCTGTATTGGAGGACCCGAACGTGTGTCTCAAGATAGGGGATGTGGGGCCCTGAGAGGCTTCACAAAACCTCCCACTGGGACATTGCCATGCATGGGACACGAGGTATCCCTCACTGGAGCCAGCCCAGGCCATGGGTGTGGGGTGTCGCAGAGCTTGGCGTGGGCCGCATAGTCTGGGGACTCGCAACACAGCTTCCTGGAGCTGTGCCCAAGGTCCCAGCCTGCTGCAGCGGGGACAGTCTCCTGGGCTGGGCTTTGCAGCTGTGCCCCGGGTGCCCGCCGGCGGCCAAGGGCGGGTCCAGCCCTGGGGAGGCCACTGTCCACCCTTGGCTGCCACTGTCCCCATGGCTGCTGCATGTGGAGATTTCTAAACGGGTCCCAGGTGGAGCTGGAAGGGGCCGGGCTGTCACAGTTTCCTGCAGCTTGAGGGAAACGTTTTGTTTAAGAGCCACCTTCCCTCGAGGTTGCAGGGGCTGAGTGCGTTACAGTCGGGTGTTGAATGCTGTGTCACAGGGGCTCGTTTGTGCTCGTGTGCTGAGTCGGAAGTTGCCTGATTGGCTGGAAGTCACTGGGCTGGGCTGGGCTCCCCCTGCATCAGGGGCAGAGGCAGGAGTTCCATCGGGCAGTGGAGACCCTGCTCTGCCAGGCAGGGAGGCAGTGGGGGTGGGGGACAGACCTCAGTCCTCCACAGCCCTTCTGAGGGGCATAGGAGGTTGGGGGTGAAGGTCGTGGTTTTGGAAGGTGCTCCAGGCCCCACGCTGGCCCAGCACTGAGCCTGAGGGGAGGGCTCGGACCCAATGGCTGTCGGGAACTGGGCATCCTCCTGACAGGGCCGTCCAGGACCAGGCCAGCGCCCCTCACCTGTGGGCTCACTCCTCGCGTGTCCTCGGTGTGTGTAAAGGGGCCAGGTGTTGAGACACATGGACTTCTGGAGCCACTCACGCTCTGGGGGGCCTGTTCACTGCAGGGCAGAGGTCTTCCCCAGGCACATCCCCGATTCCTTGACCTTAGGGGAGGTGGGCTGACAGCAAGGGCCTGCTCCATGGGGCCACCTCCCTTCTGGGACGGTGTTCCTCTGGGCTCTCAGAGCACATTCACTCCTGGGGACGGTTGTCTTCCTGTCCCAGATGGTTGGGCCTGTGCTGTAGGGTGAGTGGGAGACACCAGGTCCTCTGCTCAGTGCCTGTAGCTGGAGAACAGGTCGTGGTTGTAGGCCGTGGCATTCGGAGGCTCACTCCAGCTGGGAGCCATGAAGAGTTTCGTGGAGAGGACTTTGGGAAGAGCTGCTTGGGCCGCCGTGTGGCATGCAGGTGTCTCCCAGCCCGGCAGTGGCGAAAGCTGCGTCCTGTGCTCTGAAACTGGGGACGTTCTTGCTGCCCCAGAGGAAGGGCGCTGGGGGAACTGGGGACAGCTGGTGACACACCAAGGCCCCAGCACCCAGGCAGGTGAGAGCCCTGTTTCCTAATCTGAGTGGACACATGGGCCCTAGTGCTTCTGGTGAAAAGGGATCATTTAGCGGTCACCGTCTTTGTGGACAGCGGCCTCAGTTGGGAGTGGGAAGGGACCGCCGGCCTCCCAGAGCCCAGGGTTGGCCTCTGTGTGGCAGGGTGGAGGCCAGGCCACTGTCCCACGAGGCCACTGTCCCCACTGTGCCAGCCGGCTCTACTTCCTGTTGGCTACAAGGGATGGAGTGAGGCCAACTGGGAGCCCCGGCTGGCAGGTCACACTGCCTACATGGCGGGACATTGGGGCCACACAGATTCTGGGAGGATGGGCTCCTCCTGCAGGGTGTGGCCGCTCTTGCCCCTTCTGTTTTCATTTCCTATTCTCAGTGAGCTCGTTGAAAGACTCAACCTGCCCATGAAGTCGAGGTTCGGCATTTTTTCCCTTCTACTCTTCCCTGGGGAGCCTCAGGTGAGCCTGGCTCTGTGGCAGGGGGCCTGACCATGTGGCTGCAGAGCCACCACCCACCTGGTGCCCTCCACACACACGTGCACACACTTGTGCATGCACACACTCACCCGGGCTGGCTACTGCAGCCTTCCTTGGGATGTCAAGCCTGCCCACTGAGCAGGTGTTCCCTGTGCAACAGTCACGCTTTCTGTAGGGACCGTGGTCCCGATGTCTGGGCTCTGCCTGGTGTGGCGGGTGTTCTGAGAGGTCTCCTGAGGAGATGCTCCTGTGTCCAAAAGCGACCACATCCCCAGCCCCTGTGGCCTCTAGTCTCACTGAGAGGGACGAGAAAAGAGGGGAAAGCACTGGGTGCAGTGGCTGCATCCTCAGCTTGGGTCCGTGTGGCCAAGGGGCTCCCTGTGGCGTGGTGACCCTGGGGAAGGACAGGCTGGTTCTGGCCATGGCTCCTGAGTTGAAGCATGGTTGGCTCTGTGTGAGCACACGTGAGTCGGGGAATCTCCCAGCAACTCTGCAGTATTCGGGGGAACGGTGGAGCCGTCGAGAGGCTGTGGGGCCGCTGGTGTGACCCTTCACCCCTCTGGTGTGGGAGGCTGTGGCATCCCCAGGTGCTGAGAACAGGCTGCCTCTGGAGCCCACGTAGCTGCCAGGCTGCCACCTCCACACCCACAAAACACCTGCCCAGTGGGTGAGCCACACGTTGGCAGCCCTGGGAGCCCCTGAGTAGGTTCCCATGTTAAAGTGTTGGTGGGGAAACCACTGCAACCTACTGGGCATGAGAATGGTGGCACTAGGAAAACCAGCCACCTGTTTTCCTGGTCTCCATTCCTAGGGTTGAACTGTCTTCCAGGCTGTTTCCAATATCAATAAAACCACCAGGAACATCTTAATGTATCGTTTCCTCTCTTTCTTTCTCGTAGGAGGGTGATTCAGGTAAATGCCGGTGTGTTGTTCCTGCAGGGACAGAGCGTGGGGGCAGGTCTGGGGGCAGGTCTGGGGTACAGGGAGGAGGGTGGGTGGGGGGCTCCATGCCCTGGCATCTGCAGCAGACTCCTTGCTCTGATGGGGACGCCCTGGCCTTGCCCATACTCCCTGTTCCCCTACACCAGCTGTGACATCTCTGCGTGTGTCCAGCTTTGGCCTGTGAGCTCCAGGAGGGAAGGCTGTAGTAGCCTGGGGCCACCATGTCTCTTGCAGAAGACTTTCTGCACAGTAAGGGTCCCTCACATGGGCCTGGATGAGCTGGGGTGGCTGTTGGGTGCTCACCGGCCTGCAGAGCCCAGAGCAGCAAGGTGGGCTACCAGGTGCATGGGCTAGCCCTCCCTGACTCAATTTCCCCTATGTTCCCCTGCCTGGCTTGTCTCTCGGATGCCCCAGTGGCACTCTGGCCCTTTCCTGCATGGCTGCCTCACCAAGTGTCCTTCTCTTTGCAGAGAGCTTCAGTGAGGAGGTGGGGCTGCTGCAGCTCCTTGGGGAGCCCCCACCCCAGCAAGTCACCCAGGTCGACGACCCTGACGTGGGGCCAGCCTACATCTTTGGACCAGATGCCAACAGCGGCCAGGTGGCCCGGTACCACTTCCCCAGCCCCTTCTTCCGGGACTTCTCACTGCTGTTCCATGTCCGGCCAGCCACGGAGCATGCAGGCGTGCTGTTCGCCATCACAGACGCGGCGCAGGCAGTTGTCTTGCTGGGCGTGAAGCTCTCGGGGGTGCAGGACGGGCACCGGCACGTCTCGCTGCTCTACACGGAGCCGGGCGCAGCCCAGACCCGCACAGCTGCCAGCTTCCGCCTGCCCGCCCAGGTCGGCCAGTGGTCGCGCTTTGCGCTCGGTGTGCATGGTGGCTTGGTGACACTGTACCTGGACTGCGAGGAGTTCCAGAGGCTGCCGTTCGTGCGGTCCCCACG